AACTATAGATCAATTATTGATCCTGAACAAGCTAGTTTTGTAAATTATTAAAGAATTAAATAGTAATGTTATTCAAAATATGAAATTAATAAATTTTTAATGAGTATATTCAGTGCAGAAAGTCTTAACAGCCGAGCTGGGTCCCCAGGAGGTGAAACTACAATAGAGTTTTTAAAAATAGGATTAAATTTGGTACAATTTAAATTAATGTGAATATTAAGACAGTGAGAGTTTCTATTTGTTTTCCTTGTAATTTCCAAATATTTCAATAAATCCAACTCTTTTCTTTCTACTAAGGCCATGTAAAATAAATGAACCAGTATTGATGTTAAAATTATGTTTACTTTCAAACATTCATTGACGTGCTGGATAGCCAAATAGTGCACTCGGTATCTTCCTTTTATTTGTAAAGTTCATATATTCGAGTATTCATCCATATATTATTTTAATTATAATTGACTTTTTGCATTTTTTATAACTTAATCTTAAATTTTTAACGTGTAAATTTCGATTATTTGTATATATTTGTAATTCAATTGCGATTGATTAATTTTAATTTAAAATATATATTTCTTTCCATATATTTCCACCATTAATTACTTGATTTGCGGTTTCATTTTACTTCAGTGGTTTTTAATATCAAATCGGTCAAAAATGATGAAACAGGCATTAACTACTTTACAACTATTTTGTAATATGATTCGTACCAATACCAAACATAAAAACATAACACTTTTCTAATGCTTTTCTACCTTATAATTTCCGACTAGGCTTATGCATGCCATACACACTACGGTTTACCGGAGAGGTCTACCTGTGCAGGCATGCCTGCGCAGGTAGACCGGAACGTGTGTGGGAATAGACCTGTGCAGTTTTTTGAACCTGCACAGGCAACCGGAGCAAAACCAAAAATCAATTTTTTCCAATGACACCGTTCTATGTACCTGTGCGTCTGTGCGTGTACTCCGGCCGCCTACGCAGGTCGTGTCCCTTGTTTTCTAGTGTTTCTCTGTGAAAGTTGTCTTGTCGTTCGCATCGTATTGTCACACCACTCTTCAATTAACCCCAGAGAATGGTTTCACCAGTTTCAACTAAAAAAACGCTTGAAGAATTTATTGAAATTTATGGAAGTCATCCATATCTTTGGGAAATCAATAACAAAGATTAAAATAATCCTAATAATTGCTGATAATTTTAAATCCTCATAACTTCTTTCAGTTGCGAGAAATCTCAACGTAACTAATAATCTATCATGTGCAGAAACACTATTTCTCATAACTGTGTATATCTTTTTTATCATAGGAGTAACCATTTCAAGTAATTTAATGTATGTTTTCTCGTCCATCCGGACATAGTTTTTAAAATCTTCTGGTTCGAATTTGAATTCATTCAATAAGTTAACACGACTGTACGTTTTACTTTTCAACAACCAATACTTCACCACTTTTTTAGCTTATTTTTCACTGTTTTTTTAACTTTTATCTTTAAAATTAAAACAAGGCCTAACAATGCCAACGCGTCATCAACACAGAATGTTTTATTTATGTTTAAAGATATTTTTTTTATTCTTGTTTGTTCCTTTTTTAGATATATATATATATATATATATATATATATATATATATATATATATATAAATAAATAGCTGAAGTTATATTAATTTATATTTCTACTTTCACATCTTTAAAGATGTTGATGAGTTTTCAACAATATTCTCTCATTGCTGTTCCTATTTCAGTCTAATTTTTTATTCCCTGGTATACCGACATAGCCTCTAACCCCAATAAATGTTATATTTAAATTTACAATCATGTTAATTAAACAACATAACATAGGACACTTTATTTTTTAAAATTTTGTATTTTTTGAACATATTGAGTATGTTATTGGATGTTAACCAGGTAGTACAGTTTTCTAGTAAAATCACTGATATAGATACATTTTTAACAAAAACGGTAGATACAATTCCTTTAAAATTTTGCTTACTTAGTAAACAAGATGTACTTTCCAAATAATTTAACTATTTCTATTTATTTAAGGTATTTATCAAAAACTAAAGAACAAAGAAATGGGATTTCCATGGTCAAAGGAATCATTAAGGAAAATCATAATTGAATTAGGCTTTAGGTAACACAGTAAAATAATTATTCAGCTGAACAAATAAAAGTGTATAATGGATAATGTATTTTAAATTGATATTTTATTGGCATCGTTTTAGTTAAACTTATGATGAATATGAATAGTGTCTTTTCAAAAGTACTAAATATTTGGATAATATATTTCGGTTCCAGTTTTCGAAAAACTGTAAACAAAAAATACGATACGATTCTACATAATTTTTGTTTTTAACAAATAAATTGTTCTCACTTCTGTATGTTGTGATACATTTGAAATTTAAACCATCATACTTTTGAAAATATATTCTTCAAATTATCTTGAAAAAATTACAGGTGGAGACCAACCGAAGACAATAGGAGTGTCATAATGGAAAAATATGAAATTCGTTTAAAAGGAATAGAATATTTAAAGAAGCTAATTCAATTTCGATTTGAGGGTAGAACCATAGTTTATACCGACGAAACATATATACACACCAGCCATAGTCTACCATACCACTGGGCAGATCAAAGTGGAAAAACTTTAAAGAAATCACGCGGTATTAAAACAAGACAGTCTCACAACTAAAACTCGCGTAACGGCTCGGCAAAAACGTCAACGGGAATATCGCTCAATGATACTTTCATGGTCGGTCCCAAGCTGCAGGATGACTTATTTGTCATTCTTCTTCGTTATCGTCAACATATATACGTATTGGCAGCCGAAGCAAAGAAAATGTATCGCCAAATTCGTATACATTCAAATGACACAGTTTATCAAAAAATTTTATTTTGGAAAAATCCACAAGAGCCAATTAAAACGTACATTCTTAATACTGTCACGTACGGTACCGCTCCGGCATCATATTTATTAACTCAGGTTTTTAAGCAATTAGCTCAAGATGAGGGTATTGCGCATTCACTAGCAGCTATCGCATTAAACTCACTGGTGCAAAGACTCGTGCAGAAGCTTCCGCTTTGCGAGATCTTATCGCATTGTTAAAAAAAGGCAGTTTTCTTCTTCGAAAATGGGCATCAAATGATAAATTTTTAATAGTTGTTCAAAGTAAACACGATGAGAGTACTCACATGTCTCTAGATCCTAATGCCACCATAAAGGCATTAGGAATTCAATAGAATTCTCGCGCAGATACTCTATGTTAGGTTGGACGTATCACTGGATAAATGCCCAGCCGTATCTTCTTGGAACATTTGTCGCCAACCGGGTTGCAGAAATATATTCAAATAACGCTATTAAGTCGCGAGCTTTATGAACTATTTAACTCGTCACATTATCAAAATGTCATTAGAAAATATTCTGATATTAAAAGGTTCGCTTGGCATTTTATACCGCCCAAATCTCCCCATTTTGGAGGAATTTGAGAAGCCGCGGTTAAGTCCTTTAAGAATCATTTAATTCGCACTGTAGGTGATACTTTGTTAACATATAAATAATTCGAAACCTATCTTATTGAAATAGAAGCAATATTAAATTCTCGTCCTATTTCTCCTTTGTCGTCTAACCCAAATGACCTTCTTTCTCTTACCCCTGGACATTTTTTAATTGAAAAAACAGAGGTTAAATCTTTGTAATTTTAATATATTAAAAAAACCCACTTACAAAGATTTAACCTCTGTTTTGTGATACGTGGTATACAGCTAGCTGCAGGAATTTATTTTCCTTGTGAATTTTTTAATTGGTGGTCCGATGACAAGCTATCCTAAAACTGACTTTTTGTATATGTCAGCCAATAAATTACCAGCTTGGAAGCACGCCCAGCAGTTAAAGCAGCACTTCTGGAAACGATGGTATAAGAAATATCTTCATCAATTGATCACCAGCAACAATGTTAATGCTACTGATAATGCAATAGTGGTCGATGTTTTGGTGTTAATTAGTGAGGACAATTTGCCACCGTTACAATAGGAAGTTTAACGCATCACGTCGGTATACCCTGGGGAGGACGGGATTGCCAGAGTAGCAACCTTGAAAACCAAAACTGGAAAGTACAGACGCTGGTGAAGAAGTTGTGTCGATTCACACACTTCATCAATTAAACGAAGATGATCCTAATCGTCGGCTTCAAATTTGTGAAGAATTAAGTGAAATGATAAATAAAAACCATCATCGATTATTAAATACGAATTTTTCCGACGAGTTTTCTTTTATGTTAAATGGTGAAGCAAATAGACATAATTGTTGTTATTGGATTAACGGTAATCCTCTTTTTTTATATAGACACATTGAATAAACGTGTTTCAGGACCTTGGATTGGGAGAAGTGGTCCAATAGAGTGGCCGACCAGATCACCGAATCTTTCACCTTTGGATTTTTTTTGTGAGGATACCGAAAATCAAAAAGCCACTCCGCCCGCAGATTTTGCAGAGTTGCGACAAAGAATTGTGAGAGAATGCCGATTATTGACACCAGGGGTATATGAAAATGTACAAAGTGGATTTGAAAATATACTGTATTATTGTATTGAGGTCACAGGAGGTCATAGTCTAAGAGCCAGTGGGCGGCTACCTATATGTATTTGACGATACCTGGATTTTTGTACAGTGAGACCCCTATACCTACTGTACATGAGATGGAGAGTCACTAAGCTCCAGGTGGCCGACTTGGCGGGCGCTCAGGTAAGACAGGTATCGATTTTTGGCCAATTTTATAAGTATTTGACGACGTCTGCCGCTTTGAAATTTGAAAATATATTAATATTATTATCGGAAAATAACAATGGCAGACCATTATCGCGCGGTTTTCATTGCGGCAGACAATTTTGAAAGTGCTCAAAAAAATAAAATTTTCAAAGTAATTGACCAGATCTGCCATTAATATATTTCATTTATTAGGGTCTTAAAAACTTATATTGATCATGGCAGACGTCTTCATGGTGGACATACTTCAGTAGACAAGAAAATCTTAGCTATTATCCGGTCAGAAGTATGCATAGACTGTCTATAGCTATCTTTCTTTTATTCTCTATGAATCACTATTGTACTCATTCTAGCTTAAGAATTATTTCGTTGTGTAGTTACTCGCACTCGAAAAATTCAGGTTTTATACCTGAGAGGGCCAAGGTTCATCCCCACTCTAACGGTTTTTGCCAGATGTTTTCAGTATATCTCTGAGCCTTCTAACAGTTACTGCGTGTTTCGTGAATTTATTGAATATAATACATAGTGTTGCTTTCTTTTGTTTTATTGATACGATTATTATTATTTAATCTATCCGTGATTATGTCGAGTGAAAAACCAGAACAGAAGTGTGTCTTTTGTAACTTGGTAAAAAATGAAAAATTATTACTGTTTTCAGAAGAGACTATATCATAATGTAAAAAAGTTTTGAGGTTAAGGAAATTTCATAAATTTAAATACAATGACATTATTTTACCGGACAAAATTTATGATTCAGCATGCCATAGTAGTTGTTACAAGACATTTACAGCGTTGAAAAGACAGTATTTGACGACAGATGTTGAAAAAAAGACTTCATCACAGTCCAGAAAATCTTTGCCTGCAGTTGAACAGCCATCTACATCAGCTGAGAGTTCAATAATTGTTGATACACTTGTACACGATTCCCTTGAAAAAGATGGAAACCTTCCTGAGACAAAAGAAGCAGAAAAAGAAATCGACGCTGAACTGCCGTTGGAGGAAGGACCATCTGAAAATTTAGCACAATCATCAACTGTTGAAACTTCCGATACTGTAGCTTCTGCAAGTTCAAATTCAAATTTGTGTTTTTTTTTGTAACAAAAAAAAAGAAACAATTTCGTGGTAAAATTGACCCATTACGGGCTTCAGAAAAGGATCAATTTGAAAAGAGTGTCCTGTTAAACTTTAAGGCAGATACTGAAATTTACAATGAAACTCTAACTAAAATACAAAGTGTTCTTTCTCGTCAAGTATACTACCATGACAGTTGCCGGCAAAATTTTAGGAATAAAAAAAGATCACTCGTGAAAAGTCCAGTTCGTACTTCATGGCACATCTCCCGAGAAGTACATGAAACTGTTTATAAAGAAATATGTAATTTAATAGAAGAGAATGTTATAAATCGAGGACGTTGTTATTTTCTGAGTTATTTGCATAAAGAGTATCTTGAAATGTTTAAAGAATTAAGTGAAAGCTCAGACTCAGCATCAATATTTATCGCATCCTATTTGGAAGAAAAGCTTCGCAAGAAATTTAATGGTAAAATTCAAATTTTGACATCTAACAAAAAAAAAGTTGTTGCCCGATAGGTATTTCAACTATTGATGAATCATTATTTGCGCACTTAAAAGATCAAGATATTTTACGAGAAGCTGCTGCCATTTTACGAGAGGAAATAAGGGGCATAAAAAAAATAAATTGCCTGATAATTTAACCAATCAGCGGTTGATAAAAGGTGAGTGTTCAACACCACCTATGATTTCCGAATATTTTTCATCAATTCTCGGATGTTACAAACGTAAACGACGGAATTGCGACAGTTTTCAACGTCATGTACAGTCTCTGTCACAGGATATTATATACATTACTCACAACGGTAACCTTAAGACATCTAAACACATCTGCTTATGCATGGCCTTAAAAAGGCTTACAAGCAGTCGAGTGATCGATATAATAAATCGTTATGGTCATTGTATAAGTTATAGCGCTGTCGAGGAGTTAGAAACAGAAGCCACATTTTCATCGATTTCACGTACCGAAATATGTCCAGAGATAATTAATAAAGAAGAAAATCTCGTGGCAGGTATGGCATTTGACAATTATGACCGATTTGTTGATACCAAGACTGGGAAAGACACTCTTCATGATACTGTGGGAATAATGTACCAAAATATTGACCCCAAAGACGCTAACATAGAAGAGGAAGCAGAAAAAGAAGATACTGAAGTTAGTAAACGTGACAGGCCTAGACGACGATCTTTTGAGGCAATCGACTTCGAGTTACCTCAGTGTGCTAAAAAACTCAGAAAAGTTAGTAACATTCAAGCTGAAAGCGAAGAAGAGGTTAACATAATCATGCATAAAAGTCTTTACGATAAAATTGACAGAGTTTGGATGTTAAGTCATGCTTTGGGATTATTAAATACCCCTATGTGGACGGGTTTTAACAGTAAAATAGTGATTGATAATACTCCACAACAATTGATTATATATTTAATTTCGATTAATCACTCACCGACAAGCAATGCAGTAGTTTTGGCAACTATGCAGCAATGCATGGCAGCCTTGCAAGAGCTAAATCAAAAATAATGCAAGTAACTTACGATTTAGCTATTGCAAAGATTGCATTACAAATTCAAGCTACAGAAAGTAACACATTCCAAAAATTATTCATACACTTGGGAGCTTTTCACGTAATGATGTCATATTTTAATCCGGCTTTCTTTAAAAAAGAGAAAAGAAGACCTTTTACCTTATTGAAGAAAAATACAGAAGTTCAAGAAGCATTTGCTACTCTTGGTGAAGAAAATTTGACAGAGGACCAGTTACAACAGGTATTTAACAGCATTCAAAAGTTTACCTGCCAACTTTATAATGCAAAAAAATCTGTTGACGTTGATGATGGAAGATACCAACTTTTCGTCAATAATTATAAGGCTTCCGATGTCAATGAAAATTTCAGCAAAAAAATTTCGAATTTTGATGCAAGCTCAATACCACCATGTAAAAGTGAGCTTTATCAACAACTTCTGAGAGCGCATTATATTTCTACAATTTGGAAAAATGCTTCGATTAGAGTTTGGTTGGATAGAGCAAGACGAGAAATTTACATTCAAATGGTTTGAAGGAGATCAACTCCCAACTTATGTCAGTGATTTAATCACCCAAGTTCCTGGTAAGTTCATAATAATTAATTATTTACCGAATGTGTTCAGATCAATTTACGATTGACTTTTATTTAATAATTTATGCTTTAATATTACAGATTCCGAATCACAGGATGATGAAGAGGAGTCCCACCTGGAGACAAATGATTCCGATGAAGATGAATAAAAATTCAAATCAATAAAAGAAAATATTTTTTGTAATTCATGATTCATTTTTTTCAATTTTGTTGGGAATAAATTAAAAGAAAAAAATCAAATAAATTGACTATTTTATCATCAAATTTCTAAATTTTAGTCCATAATTTGCAAAATAAAGTATTAATTGCTATGAATACAGTAAGAACGTAAATGATATTGATATGAAACAGGGAACGTCATACAGATACATCTGACCGGATAATAGCTAAGATTTTCTTGTCTACTGAAGTATGTCCACCATGAAGACGTCTGCCATGATCAATATAAGTTTTTAAGACCCTAATAAATGAAATATATTAATGGCAGATCTGGTCAATTACTTTGAAAATTTTATTTTTTTGAGCACTTTCAAAATTGTCTGCCGCAATGAAAACCGCGCGATAATGGTCTGCCATTGTTATTTTCCGATAATAATATTAATATATTTTCAAATTTCAAAGCGGCAGACGTCGTCAAATACTTATAAAATTGGCCAAAAATCGATACCTGTCTTACCTGAGCGCCCGCCAAGTCGGCCACCTGGAGCTTAGTGACTCTCCATCTCATGTACAGTAGGTATAGGGGTCTCACTGTACAAAAATCCAGGTATCGTCAAATACATATAGGTAGCCGCCCACTGGCTCTTAGACTATCACTAAGAATATTTAATTAGTTAATTTGTTGAACTTTTATGTTTTTATTGTTATTGCTGATATTCAACCGATAAATTAATTAATTCCAAAATTACCTTTAAAGTTATTACGTAAATTAAAAAAAAAACTGTCGTGTAGAAAAAAAAAACCTTTTTAATGATATGCCACTCGACCACATTTTTGCTATTTAAATAAAACTGGGGCTTGATGAGGCATAGTACGGGGTTACATTTGAGGGCATGAATTTTCCATAAAAATTCATCTTGGTATAAGACTGTGTTTCTAACTTCGCTATAAGTCTTCGATAAAAAGCTCTTGGTTTCTGACTGTTGGGGAAGGGGGGAGGGGGTGTCAAATTTTCGTTGGAACTCACTGTATTTTACAATATTTATATTTATTTTAAACTAAGCATTTAGATGCATAAGCATCTAAGCATTTATTGTGATTTAGTCTATTAAATAAAGGGGTTTTACCGTATAATAGATAAATAAATAAATCAACTTCTTACCTTTGACGAAACACTCTTTTTCCGTACCTTAGACAGGCGGAATGAAGACGAAGAGAAAGTTGGGAATGGGATGTTCTCGTCGTGGACGACGGGGACGTTACTCATTCAATCGAGATGTTGTCTCAAAAATTGCAAAGTCCCTGAAGAGAGGAGCATCGTTAACAGATACTGCTTTGACTGCTGTACGAATAGCAAAATCCATAATCAAAAGACTTGGTGGTCGTAAAGAAGTTGATGTTCCACGAGTACTACCACTAAAATCCGGAGGTTTTCTACCTCTTATACCTCTATTTGCAGGCCTTTCCGCTTTGGGGGCCTTAGCGGGGGGTGCTGCCGGAGTTGCCAAGACAGTAGTCGACGCAAAGAATGCCCAAAAGAAATTGGAGGAAGATATACGTCATAATAAAGCAATGGAACACATAGGTTCGGGTCTGTACCTACGTAAGAAACCCAGAGGTGGATTCGGCTTGTATTTGAAAAAAAACTTCCAATAAAGCTACCCAATCGTCCGCTATATGATGTGGAGATTGCACATTATGCGAAAATACTTAAAATACCACATTTTCGAGGCGTTTTCATGAATGACGCTCTGCCTAGAGACGGTCCACGACAACGAGAATGTGCAATAGTAAACTTGGATGTGTCCACACATAACGGGACACACTGGGTAGCATATAGAAAGATAAACAGCGACGTAGAGTATTTCGATTCATTTGGTAATTTAAAGCCGACCAAAGAACTTGTTAAGTATCTGGGTGGTGCACGTGCCAACATTTCCTATAATAACCA